TGTTTGACATTAGTTTTTTATGCTTTTATATATTGGGGGTTAATGTGTTATTTAAATATATATTTTAGTTAAAATATTATGTGAAGCGACATCATTGGACTTCAACATGAACATATTCTCGAGTTTATGAAAGGAGTAATTTCTATATAATTTTAATTTTATTTGTCATTGTGCTAAGTTTCATGAAATTATATTTATTTGCTTTTTCATAAAATGAATGCGTTTCTCACTCGTAGTTGTAGTTCAACTTTGACAGCAAGATGATTGCAAGAGCTAGAAATAGGGAGCGTTTGAAGGTATCCATTATTATTATTATTATTATTATTATTTATTTTGTTCTTAAGAAATTTGAAATGTTTAGGCATATTTTTGAACAAGTTCTAAGAAGTGTACACACGTTAGTCATCAATGTAGATTTTTCCATAGGACCATGAACCAAACAAAATTTTCTTTATCATAGGTTCACTCTGTTTTCAAGATAACACATCACTTGAAATTAAAATAATTGTAAGTTTTGTCAAAAAAAAAAGAATAATTCCAAATTAGACTATAAATTCATTTATATGTTTCATTTGGCTCTAAAATTTTTAAATTTTAGTTAGAAATCTTAAAAATAGACTTTATGGATAAAAAAAATACAAAATTGATTTTCTGTGCGTGAAATTAGCCACAAACTAGAACAAATAACTCAAATTGGCAGACCAACCATGTGTCAGTATATGTAACATAATTGCCTTCAACAGTAGCGCCCAACATCATTGTGCTCAGCACAACAATCCAACGCCCAATTGGGGGCGCCTCTACGTTCTAGTCCAAACGACTGAGTGCTCCTTCTCCAAGTAGGGGTGAGCAGGCGCATACTGCACAGAGCATTGGGAATTTCTGCGCTCATTCAAGGCTCATCTGTGCCGTGGTTTTGCTTGTTTTAGGCCTGGAAGCAAAGCAATTGGAACTAATGTGCCCAGGCAGTGTGTAGTTGTGCTCAGATAATGCTTCAAAGATAGAGCGAGTAGAAATGAAGCACTGAAGACGGGCGATTTGAAACCATGAGCAATTTTCTCTTCAAATATAATTTGAAGCCATAGTTTCATTTGAAAACTTTCTAGCTCTGTATTCTTTTGACAATGCGTAATAAGAGCAAGTTGCATGGGGGACACCACACAAAGAAGTTTTCTTTTGTGTTTTTTTGGTTTTCTTATTTATGTGTTTATGTTCATTGTTTTGTTATGGATCTCTAAAATTGATGTGATTTGATTGTAAATTGATCAATTCAAGCTTTTACGTCTCCAACATTGTGATCATTGGCAATGATGCTCATCACTAATATGGTTAACATGTAATGTTTGCATCAATATGGATGCTTGTTATTGCCAACAAAATTGATACATGCTAATGACATCAATATTGATATTTATTGTTGCAAATAAAACCCGCAGTCATCCTTAAAACCATCACCAGCCTGTTATTGCCACCAATGCTAACACATATTGTTGCCATCAAAATCTACCTTATCAATATCAATGCCAATGTATGGTACTACTAAAAGGTGGATAAATACCATTACTTGTAAACTCCTTAGTTGTAATGTGCATTATTGTTTATAAAGTTAACCCTATTGGGTCAAAACCTTAGGCCATTTGGCTAAAGCGGACAATACCTTGATGGGTGAGACTTTGAGCTTTCCCGGAGCATTTGAATAGTTGTAAGTTCTAGGAGAGTAGAAACAAAATATGAGCGTGGTGTAATCAATACATTTTGCCTGATACTTATAGTGGATTTTTTGTGTGGTCTTGGTCAATAATTTTTTTTTTTTGGTGTTCTTAAGATTTTCTATGTTAAAACATGTGTATTTTTCTATGTTGAAACATGGCAAATGCTAGCAATTGATACCAATGCTAACACGTATTGTTGCCATCAAAATCTACCTTGACAATATCAATTCTAATGTATGTTACTGCTAAAAGGTGGATGAATTCCATTAATTCTAAACTTGCTGGCTATCAATGCAAAAAAATGTAAATGTGCTCTATCGCTAATAAAGTTGACACTAATGCCAGCTTGTTGTCGCAAACATCATGGTCACTTGCTGTCTCTATCAAGGCTAATGACGACATTCTTAGTTATTTGTAACCACTAATATCAGTAGAGAAACTAAAAATTGAGATTCAAGGGAGGAATAAATAAAAAAATCAAAATTTAATTTTCTAAAACAAAATAAATCAATAAATTAGGAAATTAAAAATAAGAACAACTTTAAAAAATAAAAAAGAACATCTTTCAATCTAAATATTATGAGTACACATCTTAAATTGTACCTTTTCAATTTCTGTGTTTGTTTCAGGTCTTCGTGCAATATTAAGACATTAAAATACTACTCTAATGATTTGAATTTTTTGAAACACAACAATGCAAATAAAATTAAAGGGCATTTACATACATACTATCCAATTCATAAATATTTACATATTTAATGCCTACATTTTTCTTTTTATATTTATATTTCCCAGATCTATCATATCAGACAAAAATATCATTATTTTAACATTTAACAAATAAAATACACATTTTCATGCATAGTATTGGGAGGTATGTATGTAAATATTCCTAATATTAATCTTAACTTTCATGAATAGTTAAAAATGATATCCTTCAAACGGTACATCACTAAAAAATTCCTTGGCATTTTTAATGAATTAGTGAACGAAAAAAAGTTGAGGCAAATTATTTTTGCCTTAGAAAAATAAAATTTTTATTTTTTTACAATTTCAATATGAAAATGAAAAGGTAGTTTTTCTTGCATTTGTAAAAAGACATTCTTTTTCTAATTTTACATATAAATGCTTGCATTCGATCTTTTTATTTCAAAGAACATAATGTCTAGCTCTCACAAGATAAGATTGTTATTGTCCTCTCCCAATCAGTCTGCCACAACTAATGTTGTAGCAAAATGGGTCCCAACAGTTTTATAAGCATCACCTTCATGAAAACAATGTGCCACATATATTCTAGCAGGTTCATGAACATAAATTGTAGAAAAAAATGTATTCAGATGATGTTTCCCATTGAATGATACTTGGAGATAGAAATAGAACAAGTGGATGTCTCATCATATTATCTTTTCTTTTATTATTTATAAAAATATAATGATGATCAAATTTTTATTTTTTCTTGACTATCAGATTTTTGTTTGACGGTATATTTTTTATGAGTTCTTATACTATTTCAAAAAAAAAATTATCACTTTGCATAAATCTCGAGGCGATCAACATGAATTTTGAAACATATTTTCAGCAAGAAATATTCATTCTTATACTACAACCCCCTTATTAATGCGACTATAGCCCCCCCCACTACGACTAATGTGACCAATTACAGACTACGTGGCTCGAAGCTCATGTAGCTCCAAATTTTATCTCCTGTGACCTACATAGTTTATTGCAACTCACCACTAAGACCTAAATTATCAACTACGACCTACGTTACTCCTTGCTCATGCATTCTTAATTATGATCACAATGACTTACATAAGTTATTGCAACTCTCTGTTAAAGCCTACGTGAACAAATATGACATACATGGCTCATCGTTCACGCGACTTCCAACTCCGACCGCTGCGGCCTACGAATATTATTACAATTCTCCGCAACGACCTTTATGCCCAACCACAACATATGTGGATAATAGCTCATGCAGGTCCCAAACTCCAACCCTGTGGCTGATGAAAACTATCACATCTCTCTACTACGGCTGTTGTGGCCAACCGACGCTCCTGAAACAATCACATACAACCAACATGGCCAACTACTTCCACAATTTTCAATTAGAACTTCTACGACAAGCTGGCGCCACAACCTCCATCTACAAAATTCATGGAGAAATACTTCCTTCATAACAATTAACTACAGTCTTCACGACATATTACGACTATTATTGCTGAACTATTGTTGTTCAACAACATTGTAATTTCATCTTCTTTAATTCTAAATGAGAGTGACCTATACACTTACAATTTCTCAGTGGATTACTTTGACTGGGCATGCCCTGTGATTTTTTCCCTCCACAGGATTTTCCACGTATAAATTGTGGTTTCTCCCCAATACAATTCTTTTATCTGTGTATTTACTTTATCTTGTACTACATTCAGACGATAATTTATTACTCTACCACCTTGGATCTTCTAGTGCGCACCTAGTTCTAAATTTTTTAGAAGAATATATATATAATATATATATATATATATATAGACACATGCTTTGAGACTACACTTTTAATAAGTGCAACTGCCCAATCAAACTTATAATTTTTTTTATAAATACGTGCCATAAAGCGATATAAGAAATAAAATACTCCTCACTAAAACCTATATTTAAATTCAAGGCTTATGAGCTTTTAATAAGATGATGCTTTTCTTTTTTAACTGATTCGCTTGAGAAATTCAACCCACTTACGATTTTTTTATACTTAATTTTTTTAAAAAATATTATGGTAACCGGAGTGATGCGCATCCCACACTGATACATACAAATATACTAAGGTCAAACGAAACGAGAGAACCCGTTTGTTCCATTTAAAATAATAATAATAATAATAAATAAATAATAGGAAGGAAGGAAGGATTCAAAGCCTTCACATCTCATCTTTGATGACAATATATAAACCTCCTGTAAATCCCTGTTTTGATATTAAAATGGCAAAGCATATAGATTTCTTGCATTCTATGAACATTGACTTATCAAAGATAAATTAAAGAAGTATGAGTATTTTAATGAATTGCAACTCTTCGCAAAAGAATTAATACAAAACTAACATTTGCAAATTAAGAAAAAAAGAAAAAAAGAATTCTTCAGCTCTAGCCAATTTCATTCCCAATCCAAGACAACCACAAAATGACAGACACATCCTCAAAGTTCTCAAATTCCTCCGAAATGGGAATCGACAACTAACTTTAGTGTAATTTGCACAGTCACGTACGCACCATTTCAACAAAAGGTAAAATGTTCATTCAGAATCTAATAACTCTATAGAAAACAAGACATCTTGTCCTTTTATTCTCAGCCATCACATCCCTTAATTTAAATCATTGAGGGAATGAAATTATTAAACCAAAATTACGTATATACCAAAAAGTACTTAAATCAAATTAATATTTTGATATTTAAATAACACTAAAACTAGATCTGGCTTCAAAATCACCATCTCTAATCACAATGGCTCTCCTTCGCAACCCCCCAACAATTCTCTTCCTATATTTACAAATCTATCCATCAACGAAGATCATTTTTTGCAAATATGTCCATCAACGATCGCCAACGGTTAATTTCACGGATGCCGGCAAGTAACTTTTATGCGACTGTCCTCCACTCATCACCGACGATAGTCGCACGATCACTCCTTCCTCAACCTTCGGATTACCCCTTAGTTGCTCGACCGCAGGTGCGAGAACTCGCTCAGCCCATTCGTCGAACAGGTTGCACGCATCGCCACCCAGCCATAGTCCGCCGACCATTTGATCGAGCGCATCGTCATCAATGGCAATCGACCGTCCCTCCCCCATGATTTGTGCAAATTTCGCTGACACTGAATCGGAAACTTTTTTTCGTAGCGGCGTGAAGTCCATGGGTTTGAAGACTATGGTGGCGTCGATCAATTCGTTAATCTCTGATGTCCATGCTGAAGCAACCATCGGAGTCACCAAGCTCTGCGTCACAAGACGGCCATGCCCATGCTCTTGCCCGTGCTCTACAGTGAGATCACTAGAGTTCCAAGAGCCCTCGCCGGCTTCCTCATTGCAAGCCCCAGAGGCGCCGGCCAGATTCAAGTCCAGCGATAATGAATCCTTCCTCGGCTTAGTGAGCCTTTCATCCTTGAACAGCCACTGACCGCGACGCTTATTCGTCTTCTCTTCAAATTGCAACTCCAGCTGACGACCAGAGGTGGCCAGCTTGGTGATCTTCTCTTCCGATCGCCGGAGCTCCTCGTTCGAATTCCCAAGCTCTTCGGGCAACCATCCAGCGGTGAGTATAAAGATTGCGTTACCCAAACCGACTTCCCTGCCACGAGAATCCAAAAGCCGGCCCCTTTCCATAGCTCGGGTGATCGTTCCCCGAAGCGCGGAATCGGTTTGATCATAGTCCTCGAAGAATATAGTAGAGAACGGATTAACACGAAGGGTCTCTGCAACTCTATCAATCGATGTCCGCCCTCGGAAACTCTGGTTGTGCTCTTGAGGTTCCTCCCCGGCGGCGGTTTCCGGCAAGCCCAACCGAATGATGAGCGGTGTGGTGCCGAATACTAGATCAGATAATGCGACTGCCATTTTCTGCTTCCCAACGCGATCTGGACCGGCGAAGAGGAGCCAAGTGTCGGTTTTTTGGCTGCCATTACGCCGCTTTCCGATACCGGAGTTGGATTGTATAACAGCGGCGGCGACGGCAGAGGCCGCCTCCGGTTGCCAGCTGACTTTATCTAATAAGCCGTTGACAAGCCTTTTAATGGAAGTCGCGTCACCGGTGAATTTTGTTGCGCTAGGCTTTTGAACAGGACCAAGAGCAAGGTCGGTCTTGACTAATGCTCCAGGTGGGCTTGGCGGCCTCTGCGGCGTGGTCAACACGTCGGCTGTTTGAAGGGTGGGTTTGAGCTGGGTAGAATTGAACGGGATGGGTTTCGATAATGGAAAACCAGTAATTAAAGGTTTTGTTGTAACCGGAAAGAAGTTGCGGTGGAGTTGGAAACAGTTTTCTCGCCATTTTTTCATCAGCTCTTGTTCCTGTTTCTGATTAGCATTGAGATTAATTCGATTAAAAAGCTGAAATTTGAAATTTTGTTCGTTGGAAAATGTTTTCTGACTTCAATTATCAGAGTTCAGATTTTAAACCTGGAGATTAGGAGGTGGTGTGGTGGCTATCTGAAGCCAGCGAGGCAGAGATTTCCGTGCATTTGGCGTGCCTTCGGTGGATTTCTCGGATTCATCCTCTCCAAATTTAGCTACCTCGCGCTGGTAGCTTTCCTTGCAAAGATTGCATAGCGAGTTTTTACAGAAGGCGTCTAGGCTCTCCGACGGCTTTCTCGGACCGATTCCGCAGATGCCCATCGGGGGAAAACCTCTCGGCGTGCCGAAAGATTCAATTTTGCTGCTTAGGATCACATTACTTCCAACCCTAAAACAGTGCAAACCCCACAAACTCTTCAATTATTCAATGCCAAAAGAACAACCTAAAAAGAGAAGCAGCAAACTAGAGTAATGAAACAGACCTGGGGGCCAAGCTAGGGAGAGGCGCCGTTCTTGGGGCGATAGGTACTGCCTGCAGATCCCAATCACTCTCCATCGTCGGGAAGTAGACTTGGCATCGAAGGTAAGTCGCGCACGTCGCCGTGCCGACTAACGACAATCTGCCGCCAAATCGTACAAGGAGGCTGCTTATCTCAGCCACGGCGGAGCGGCCGACATCTGTAAGGCTCTGCTGCTGACTTGCACCTTCAACTAACCATTTGAGGTCTCCGAGATCGAGAATAATACCAGGGCCACCTCCTGCGGCAGTCCGCGAATCGATCATCGAATTTAGTTCCCTGATCTTGGAAGGAATCTCTTTTCGATCTGATGAGGAGAAATCGAACTCCTTCTCGGTGGAGATGACAGAGATGGATCGAAACTTAACCGGAGCATCCCCTGCAGCAATCTTTCCAATCACTTCTTTCATCACGGCACCGGGATCAGCGTCACCGACGAGTATCGGATTTCGCTTCTTGGTTCGCGTGAGTATGTCGAAGACCTTGGCGATGTCGCCGCCGATGGAAGAAGGATCGGTTACTGCTGGGAGAGCAGCAGTGCCGACGAGGCGGGGGCTTAGGTAAAGGTTGCGAGCAGGGGAAGGGGAGGGGGAGGGGGAGGAGGAGAGGGAGTTTTCAATGCAAGCTTTGACTGCAGGGGAGGAGAAGGAGGCCTCCCGCATGACGCGGCTTACGGATGGGTCATCGAGGATTGAGAGGAGAAGGTGTTCGAGCTCCACCTTGACGGCGAGGAGCGGTTGCTGCTGGGATTCAGGACAGCCTCGTCGCTGGTGTGCTTGGGCGCGTTTGAGAGCTGCCATGAGAGCGTTAGAGATTGGAGGTGGCGCGGAACTCGGGGAGTCATCCGGCGACGGGGTGGCTGTGGTAGACGCAGAAGGGAGGCGGTCGAGGGCGACGGAGAAGCAGAGCTCGAGAGCACGGCACTGAAGGGGGTGGGAAGAAGAGGGATTTGGATGGGAGCGGATGCAAGCTTGCCGGAGATGGCTGGAGGGGGAAGACAGTAGGGCAGACGCGACGTGAAGAGGCGTCGTCTGCCCGTTTCGCCTGCGGGCTGCTTCGGCAATCGCTTGATTGAGAACCGCCGAGGCCTCCGGCGTCAGTGTCTGCTGAATTGTGCTCAGTCCTGCTCTCATGTCTTTCTGCCCCAAAGATTCGATTTTTTATTCAGCTCGCCGGCAAAGGAGACGCCTTTCTCTCTCCTTCTGCAGATCTCGAAAGGGTATTTAAATTTGAAGTACTCTCATTCTTTCTTTCTTCTGTGAACTCTCTCCTCCATGGGCTGTTCTCAGTTGTGCTGTACGCTTTGATCTGTTCTTTCTCTGTATCTGTTTTAATCGAGTGTAGGAAGCTTAAGAAAAATAGAAAGAGAGAGAGAGAGACGAAAGAGGGAATCGGGCAGCAACGCGTTAAAGCGTAAATGTTAGGGTTTAGAGGTTGTGGTGTCGGGGCACTACATGGGCTGCGGACGGAGATTAGAGGGTACCTTTTGCACATTAAATTAAAATAAACAAAAAGACAAATTAGAAATTGAGGAGAGAGAATAAAAAGATGATTAGTTTGCGTTAATGATGATTAACAGAAAAGGTCGTGATTTTTTTATATTTTGTGGACAGAGAGGAAATGGAGGAATAAACTATGGGGAATACATGAGTTGAAACATACCTCCTTAGCTTTTAGTGGGGAGTTAGCTCATCAATCGTCTTTTTCATTTTTTTTTAATTTTTATTTTAATCTTATAAGATGTGTTTTGTCAGCTGCTATTTTGATATTTAATTAATTATGATTTTTTTTGTTAACTTTGGATTTAGTTTATTAATTGATGGTTTGAAAAAAATATTAATTACTTTTTGGTTTAACTCATTATATATTGCATCCTTTTGATAAATTACATGAGATTAAGAATGGTTAAATGTTTTTATTATTCTAATACTTTATAATCTTATGTTTGTGCTAATTGTATTATGTTATTTATAGTTATGGCTCTTTCTTCAGGGAAAAAGTCTTGCTAGAACTTTTCACCTCCCAAAGAGGTTTGATTGTGAGTATCTTCAGATGTTGCCGAACTGTTTTTTTTAGTGTGAAATTTGCTATTATTTTTTTGGAGTGATGCATAACAGACAATTTTTATATCTTTCCATAAGGGGCGTTTACATACACAGCATACAATTTTTAATGTATTTGCATATCTCACACCTCAATTGTTATAATTACACAAATACCACTTAAAATTTTATTATCACATAAAAAATAACATTATTAACACTTTCTTAAAAGTAAACATATCTTTTCCAGCATAGGTTTAAAGCGTTAAATTGATATGTATGTAAATATGAAAGTTTAGGTGTGAGATTTTTAAATACATAAGAATTGCATGTTACATATGTAAATTTCCTATTTTTATTCCGTGATTAATGCAACTGAGTTTAAACTTGATAACACAATGCATGGGAGTGCATGGATGTTAGAGAGTCTAGGAGTAAAAGTTTGGAAGTATCATGGTCATTTTTCTATGATAACATAAAGCAAAAATCAAAACGTAGGGAGAAGAAACATAGATTAGAGTAATTCAATTGATTGGCATATATCCAAAATGGAATTAATTAAGAGAAAATGTTCACTATTTAAAAAGAAAAAAAAAATATTAGAAGCTCATCTATTACAATATCGTTTAGAAACATAATTACAATCATCTTGAGAAAACAAATCCATAGGCTAAGAGAACTAATCACTAAAGAATAAGGATGGCTAGGCCATGTCCACCAAGAGTTGGGGATGGCAGGACCTATGCATAGTGGGCATGGAAGCACAAGAAAGTTATGGTGGAACATGGATATAGTCAAATCGATTTCCTAACAGGAGGTAAAAATGGCTCAATATTAATGTCAAGGATGTTGTGCATAGGAGGGTTGATATGGTACTAAAAGTTTTTAATAATCCTCTTTCTAGAGATAGAGATGGTATGATTTGATGATGATGATGTGTAAAGTAGCATAGAAAACCATTCTTGTAGATCTTTCTTTAGAAGTGGAGATGACATTACTTAATAATCTTTCTTTAGAAGTGGAGTCTCATAGAGATAGATAAATGAAATAAGAATGGTCCTTTTTATATAGACAAAGATAAAACAATCATGAGGAGATCTGTGGGTGATATGATAGGAATATTGAGGGACTGAAGGGTAATCAAAGCAATTCACTTTATAGAGCTAGACATGGCCTGAGTTGAGGAAAAAGAAAAAAAAATATAAGAAAACCATTGAGTTAACTAATATTAGTTAAATGATTTTTCTTCTAGTGATAGAGAATGGCTTAACTAGAGTGAAGAATGTCAATCAATACAAAATAGGCCTTTCCTAAAAGAGGGCCTATATAACTTAAAGATAGTAAACAAGTTTACCTTTGAAGTTGCTCACTTGGAAAGGAGAGGAAGGACTCTTTGATAAGAATCCAAGTGAATCGATACAAGCAAGCCTTTTCATTTTTTATTGGACAAGGAATCACATGACTTGAAGAAAATGAAGAAGTTATCACATGATAGCTCTCCTTCTGAAAGGAGGGGCTATATAAAAAAAAAAGTGTAGGGCGAGTTAGCTCGAACAACCCCTCTTTTTAAGAGGGATTGAGAATGTACAACTCTAACAAAATGGGCAACTAAACAACGAGTGTCCTATCTTTCAAAATAATAATTGCACGATCTGATGTTAACAAATAAATAAATATAAGTTAATTCCATCTTTTAGAAAAAAAGGGAACTATATGAACAAAAGGTGACAAGCATCCAGTTTAAGATAGATGTGGAATCGCTAGAAATGAGTGTAAATAATCTCAGGCGGTGGTTAAAATTCTAGGACTTTCTTTGATCCAAATAAGAAAACCCCTCTTGAATTTTATAAAAAATTTAAAGGGATATTTCTATCGTTTTATGGAATTATGCTAAAAAGTTTTTTAATCATAATAGCAACTGATAGTGAACATTGTGATCTCATTGTATAAAAGGATGACCAAATGTTTCTACCCATAAATTAAACTATTTGAATGGTCATGGCCTTGACCTTCAAGTGTGAATAATGATTCAATGGTAATTATTAGTAGTGAAATTTTTTATTACAAGATCAATATAATGCTTATAGAACTTGATATTGTGATTTCAAATAAAGCAAAATATCAGTATTTTTGTTGCATACTAAGAATTTTTTAATGAAGGAGAAATCTTATTCCGTAGCTCAGTATAAATTTCCAGCACACATAGATAAGAAGAAGTACAAAAATCATATTTTTCTATGGAAAACTCTTAAAAGAGAAAAAAATCATGGTGCATGACCCAATAAAAGTGGTCCATTAGAAAATTGAAAGTATATAGTTTCACTCTTCTCTTGTATTAGGGAAGTTGAAAGTACAATAACTAATTATCCCAATCATAATTGGCTACAAGAACACTAGTTGGTGGCTAACATAACAGTATCTGGCTACAAAAAATATAGTTGGTGGCTATGACAATCATAGTTTGCAGCAAAAAGTTGTAGTTGGTAGCTAGAACAAACTGTACTTGGCTGTAGAAGCTGTGGTTGGTGGCTACAATAGTAGCACTTGGCTACAAAAAACATAGATGGTTGTTATGATTGCCGTAGTTGGTTGTATGGGCTATATTTGATGGCTACAACCATCATAGTTGGATGCAATAATTGCTAGTATTGGCCAATAACACCTAGTGTTAGTTCACATGCATTTATGTTCAAGAGAAATACTTTAAATGTGAACTCACCCTTCTTTTCTCGTCCCCCATTCTAGTGAAAATGGGGGGCCTGCTTGTAATTTTTAAGAGAAACATTTTGAAAAAATTACCTTTTTTTTCAAAGCATTTCATCATACAATTTACAAAGATTCTCTTACTCACATGTAATTTTTTCAAGATTTAAGTCCCTTAATAACGTTAGCTATAAATGATCTTGGACTCATTTGATTCCTCTCCTTGAGCTTGATTTGACTATAAATAGACCAAATTTAGATACTTTTTAGTCTTTCAATTAATGTACCAAAATCATTAATAATATTTCAAGTGTTTGATATGTGCTTATTTTGTCTTGGATTGTATCACTTTTAACATCATTTAGTTCGTCATGTGAAGACACTAAGTTTGACTTTAAACTTGTTGAAATTGGGCCTCACATGATCTTGAAGTTGAATTTGGAACTTTTATTGCTCAAAATGCATTGAGATTCCCGCCTGATGATAAAAATTTTGTGATAACGGATCAATTCTCTGAATGAAATTGATGTGAATATATTTATGAAGATTTATTGATTTAGTTTGGGGTTTTCAAAAGTGTTGAAGTTAGCTATTATCTGTGCACTGAAATGTCATCTCCTCATATGCAATAATTTAGTACAAACGACTCATAAAATAGATGTCAATGAAGATTATTTGAAATCCATGATGCTTATATGGAGAGCTTTTCAGAGGGTTGGTTCCATGTTCCCTTAAATCTTAATACCTTTTTTTCAGGACTTTGAAATTATCTTAATAAGTTGATTATTTTGACCCTAAAATAATCTCTGAAGCCAAAATTTTTTTGTTAGTTAAATTAGTTTTGATTGATTGAAATAAAATTGGCATTTTGCACAAAATATTGTTCTCGAGTAGATGACAATTTTTATAATCTCTGCAACTTTCAGGAAGTTCAGTAAAGCAGATACTTGCGAATTTCATGATCAAACTCGCATTAAAACTGAAAGGACATTCATGAAATTCAAAATCTTATAATTAAAATGTATATATGGTTACTTTTATTTTAGAAATATAGGTAAATCAATCTGTTTTTAAAGATAGATTATAAGACGTTGGAACTAATCTCGAGTAGGTCGGGGAATTTAGCTCGGAGAGCATTCATTACTCGAAAAACCGTTCAAATTTTGGCCTTGATTGAGATCGGATCAGAATCAGAATAAACGGGCTGAGTTATGAGCCAAAAACTTTGGGTCAAATTTTTTTTCAGACTGATTTTGAGCCATACATAGATCATCTTGAACAACCTCCAAATCAGCTCGAAGTACTATTTTTTTTATTTATAAATATTATACAAATAATACTGAATAAAATCAAATGTAACCAGCCACGCGCCAATTTGGAGCTGGAATGGATTCAAAGCAACTCAATTTGAGCAAGCTCATTTTGATTTCGAGCCGAATCAAGCTGATTTTGAGCTGGAATGGATCTAAGTAACTTAATAGGAGCAAGCTCGTTTAGATTTCGATCTTGATCAAGCTTGATTTTATTCTGAGCCGAGCTAGCTCGATATTGAATATATAACGAGTCACGAGACATTTCTGAGCCGCACTCAATCCATTCGAGCTGATTTCGAGCCGACCCCAACTTGTCTCAAAATCGTATCGTCAACAACCCTAATTTAAGATTTGGTAGACATCATTGTAGACTGATTTAAGGTTGATAATGAGTCAAGTTCAATTGTGTTTTGTCCTAACTTGAACTCTAACTTAGTGTATTTCGCTCAACTCAATCTTATCAGAAAATTAACTTTAGTTTGCATATCCAATTAAATTTA